TTTTTTCCCAATGTATCATTCATGTATGTTTGTCTGCATTTTAAGCAGGATCTTGTAGAATTACTGAATATGCATTTTATATGGATACAGAGTTGATATGCTCAATGTCAAATATGTTCCATTAACTGGGAAGTATTTGTATGTACACATAAAATTCAGTAACCACAATGTCATCCATTTACTGCCCAACAACTACCTACTTATTTTCCTGGATGAAAAGAAAAAAAATTGTAATTTATCATTTGAGTATGTCTTATTTTTTTTTAATTGTTATTTATTTACAGTCCACATAACCATTTCCTATATGGTAACCGAGCACAAACTTACTTAAAAACAGAGAAGTTTCAAGAAGCATTGTGGGATAGCCGTCGAGCTTTGGTTCTAGAATCAAATTGGGCTAAAGGCTGCTATCGATATGCACAAGCCTTTTTTGAGTTGGATTTTCATGAACGTGCTATTCGTGAGAATGAATCTGGGCTAAAATTTGCCGAAGAGCCTAATGAAAGAAGAGACCTGCTAATGCAAAAGAAGAAGTTTTATGATTTTAGTAAGTATATATAATTGTGTTGTTATTGTTTTGGTCATTGTTATTACATCTCTAGTATACAATGCATGTATGAGTTTTCGCATGTAATTCCACAAATTTGTACCAACCTATAAGTTGCCAGATCCTGACTGTTGAATGAAAATAGTGACAACATTAAAATGTTTTTTTAAAACAAATGTAATTGTAAAATTAAGGAGGTCAGTTATGTCACATGCTCAAGCCTATAGTGTACATTTTATTGTTTAATATTTTTTTTAGGAAATAATTTTTAATCACATATTAAACATATTTAATACTCTTATTTATTCTTATGAATCTAGAAAATGATTTAGAAAAAGGGAAAAAAGTTTTTTATGATGATGATGATGTACCTGAGTTAGTTGAGCAGGGGGGATCAAGCGATGAATCTGGTAGCGAGAGGTCAGACTCCGAATCTATGCCGGATCTAGTTTCCGACGGATTAGACTCATTTTCTGATGATGCTTCTGAATCAGAATTTATTGAGGTGAGTAACATACAATGTGAAATTTCTTATTCTAAATTTTGTGGAGTGGTTAGTGTTACTTAAATCTATAGGATAGTAATAAACAGTGCTGAAATATTCATGAATAGGTTTAAAGGTAAACGAAGAACATTCAAAGAAAAACTTGTTTATTTCCCTAGGGAAGAGAGACTTCCACAGACCATGCCCATGTGTAATTCAGCACGACTACAATTTTGTTGAACATGCTCAAAATTTTACGATAATGTACGCTTTTGTATGGCTATCCATGTCATGTCGAATACATAATACCTCTCAGACCTTTCCCCCACTCCTGCACACCAGGCGATTTTATAGTGAACGTGTCTTACTGACACTTGTCGTAAGTTAATATAACGTGTGAGACCGGCTTTGCTCTGCCCCAACCTATCTCTTTGCGATTTTGATATCTTTGATCAAATTTAAAAAAAAAAATAAAATTCTATAACATTGAGAAATTTAAAAGATGCTTGAAAAGTTGTTACATTATGATTATTTGTATATCCTTAGACAACTCAAAAATCTCTTATTGGAATAAGGAAAAAGAGAAGTCTAAGACTAAGCCAAAGACTAAGAGAGAAAAAGAAAATTGAGAAACCTGAGAAAAAGATGAAGACCATAGAAATTAAACTGAAGCTTAATAGAAAAAAACCAGCAGAAGCCCCATCTTTCAGTGTCACTCCAGTAAGTAGTAAGGTAATTTATAGTTTTGATTTCTTGAGTTTTTTTCAACATTGATTTCCACTTTCAAATGGTTTACATACTTAACATACTGTTTAATGTTTGCTACGGATACAGGCTATCTAGAAATGTTAATGCCCCTGGACCTCCTACAGTATTGTTATCTCGATCGGCGCCACTTTCGGCCCCTTCCGGGGGCCTCCCCTTTTAGACATCTCTCTGGATCCGCCTCTGTACGTTGTGTGATGGAGTAAATGTGAAGTCTGGATCATTACAGTGTTATATAATGCTGAAAAGTCTGGCTTTGTTTTAACAGGTAAATATGGCTGAAATGCAGGAGTTGGTGACCAAGCCTAAATTGGAACCCATTCCTAAGCCTGATGTCATCCCTGAGCCTGACCCCACTCCTAAACTAAGTAATGCTGAATTGAAAAGGGAACTTGCACTTGGATCTAAATACCATTTGGAAAAGAAGGAGCATGAGGCTTTTATGCAATACCAGAAGGCTGTTAAACTGATACATGACTGCCCGGTAAAAGTAAGTTTGCAAGCAGCAATATTTAAATATTACTTACAGTGAGAACTCAACCATTTTTACCTTAATATTCCTGGTTCAATCCAACTGAACTCAAGTGTGTTCTTCATTCATTCGCCTCAAATGCACTAACTGTGACAAACTCTATGTGAATCAATCTTCTGTGTGTTTAACTTATTAGCTTAAAAAATATATATACAATATAGGATGGTTTTCTGGTAGGTTAGGGTTCTGCAGTTAGGGTCAACATTGTAGTCAGAGGTTGAAACCCTCGCTGTGCATTTTCCTTGTGTCCTTCAAGGCAAGGCACTTCCCCTACGGTTGTCTCTCTTCACCTGGATGCGAGGGGGTGGGTACCTTTTTAGGCTCAAACACAATATGCTGATTACAGATGCATTATGGAATTTTCCCTCCCCAGGGAGCTGAGTGTGTGTTCCATAATGTGCTTGATCCAATGACCGGGGGTAATAATGCTAAGTGAATAGAGCCCTTGTTGGCATTAAGCACTATATAAGTGTATCGTATTATTATTATAATAGGTATTATACGCACAACTTCCTAGCCAGCCTCTATAGAGGATGTGATAAACAATAGCCCCACCACACCTGACAAGGTTGTTAGGAAACCTTATTTAATGTGATTGGCCATTTGCAACTTCTTACATGTTATGTTTTTTTTTCTCTCTCAGTATGGTGGTATGAATGAATTGGAATATGTGAGCTTCACATACTGCTTTGGTCACATTTGCCTTACTAGTATAAAACTACAGGTGAGGTTTATAAAACATTTTTATTATAATTTTACATTTTATTTTATTAACATTATTAATAATATTATTGATATTAGGTACAATTATTATTACATTAATGTAAATTAAATTAAGAAATATATAATCAATTCAATTTATTTTTTTTATTTATTTATAATATAATTATGATTAATACTGTATAGTACAACATGTACTTTGTATATACAGCTTTTAACAAACTATATATACAACATGTACTTTGTATATGCAGTTTGTTAAAAGCTCAAAAATAGAATAAAAATAATTTTAAAAAAAATGAGTGACAATTATTATGTAGGTTAGTAAGTCACTTTAAACACAATGTTGTACATTGGGAATGGTAAAAGTATAATGTATATGTACAGCATTTTGGAAGAGCACTTTCCAACCTTGAGAAGGCTATCCCACGTAAAGATGACAAATTATTTCTTGATGAATGCATTTTTAATTCAATGAAATCTGATGTTCTATTAAAACAGGAGATCCAGAAATCTGAGCAACTATTTGGAGGGATATTGAAGGACCATGCCGACATTTACTTCCCTCTTGCTTATTACGGACTTGGATGTTATTTTCAAAAAATTAACAGGTTAGTACACTAGGCTATGGTGAAAGCTGTTTGGAGCAGTGGACAAGGTTTGATTTCTCAAACTTGAGGGGGAGTATTGCAGTCTCATCTGCTTCGTGCTATAGAAACTGCGGATAAGGTAGCCCTATTAGGCCTACTGGCTTGGCAAGGATTTACTACACTGGACTTTTGATCAGTCTGCTTTGCTGGGAGTTGTTGCACAGAGTATCAAAAGATAAATCTTTTACAGTAACATCTCTGCATTATGTACCCCTCCATTTGAATGAACAGATGTTACTGCTTGAATGAACAGTGTTAATTTCTAATAATAAATGCTGTTCATTCAACAGTAACATCTCTGCATTATGTACCCCTCTGTTTGAATGAACAGCGTTTATTATTGGATAATTTGTAATTGAGAGTCTAGTAAACTTACTTTGTTTCTCTGCATTGATCTCAGATTTACAGAAGCAGTTGAACAACTTAAAAAGGGCGAGAAATGCTTGAATGAATCTCCCGAACCACAACCTGTGATATTTTGGCCTGAGACTACTCAACCAGTTAAAGAAAGTGTTTCAGACTGTATTTTGGTAAGTCTGCTATAGGCTTACAACTACCAGCAGGCCTGAAAAATATTTTTGTGCGTCCGACCTTAAAAATTATTTTGATCAAATGCCTCCAACACCAGATGTTATTGTTTACACTATTATAGTTAAACAGTAGTAAATTTAGTGGTTTGGAGCAAGCATAGATATCAAATTTAATTACCGGTATGCATTAAATTATGATGTGTAATGAAAGAAAAAAAAAATTAATAAAAATATTTTTTTTTTTCCTAAAATGCCTTTGGGGTAAGGGTCAATGCCTCCGACCGCTGGTTGCACACTTTTTTCAGCCCTGACTAGCAGTACTACTGCAAATTCTGTTGCTACTATAAACACTGCTAAGAATAATATAGAAATTTATGAAACACTTTTAAATATATTTGATATAACTTCAGTTCTTATTTATTGTGCTAAATTTTTTTTTATAATACCACCACCACCACCATTACTAAAATTTCCTTTTGCACTTTTTGTACTTTTATTATTTAAGTGTTTTTTAAGAATATTTGACAAGTTAATAAGTTGTGTTTTTTTGTTTTCAGGAATCATTTGAAGAACTAATTCATGATTGTAAAAATCCACCGAAACCTTTAGCAGTTTGTCATTTTCAAAATTGTACATATTCTAAGCGTGACATATACTTGACAGATATTGACTTCAAAGGTTACGTACACATTCTTTGCACAGAGGACTGTCGACTAGACTACCACATTGGCTGTTGGAAACATTGCAGAGTAGATTTTTATGACCGTACTCATGAAAAGGTTAGTGCTATACATTGTTTTGATTGATTGATTGACAGCTTAAAGTCATTTTGGAAGTTAACTCTCCTTCATGAGTAAATTCCAGTACGAAAGTGATTCTCGATATCATCTGGTGTTTTATACACTGGTCTTGTGTATTTTGGCAAAACAAAAACAACCACTAAAGTTAACAAACCCTTCAAAAAATTGTCAAATTAACATCATCATAGTTAAACCAGGGAGCAGTAATAGCCGAGTAAACCACCGTCATACGCAGGACGTACTGCTAAAAAATATAAACTTCACATATATTTAGAAAAAATAATGACTAGATTACTATAAACATATCTCATTGGATCAGATTAAACTTACAAGTTTCGACCACTGCAATATGTAACAATTCTAGGAAAAGACTAATTGTTTTCAATTTTTATAGGATATTTTAAACAAGGCATGTTGTACTCCAGACTGCCTTGGGACAATCTTTACAATAGCAACTTATGGAAATGATGGCAAAGTGAGGTCAGAGGTGAGAAATTTCATGCATTCATATTAGATGTTTAGTGACCCCATAGTATGCTTTTTTGCCTGTTAAAATATAACATCCTGCATAATTAGTAGAATAAAATAAACTGGCAAATTTATGTACTTGACTGAGTAATATATTATTGTAATTAGTGATACACTGCATTGTTAATAATAATTTTTCTTTTATAGGCCAAAGTTGATGCCAATTCTAAACCTAAACACCTTCAGAAATCTGCACACCAACCCCAACCAGCTATGTCGTAAGTTAACAATTTACAATTAAAAAAAAAAAAAAAAATTAATACTATACAGAATAAAACCCTAACTAGCTGTGATGTAAGTTATATAATGTATAATTTTTATAAATACCTTAATACAAACAATAACATCTTAAAACAACTATGATGCAGATGAAGCTATGTATAATTTTTATTGAATCACCTAAAATAAACAATAAAAACAAGAGAGTTGCTATCTTCTCACTACAATTCTTTTCGTTTTAAAGTTTTATATATAAAATATACTAAATAATAAAAAAATATAATCAGTGATATATTGATGTATTTTTGCCTCGCTTTCCATTAGAAAATCTAAAAAGAAGAGACAGAAAAAGAAATTAAAGAAACATTCTGAGGAAGAAGAAGCAGCAGCCACTGGCACTGAAGTGACCAATGACAATTCAGGTAAAGGCCCTGTCCAAACTACCACACGTGACACATGTTACATGCTTAAATATGGTCATGATGACATCACACCATCACCATATATAGTCACATCATGACTATATATGGGCATACAACAGTTTTTTTTGTCAAAGAATGGACAGAGCTTCATAACTAGCAGAAATTATATTAAGTTTCTGCTAGTGCTAGTAATTAAATACACTTGCAATATAAGAATCTCGATTTCTACAGTCATAACAAAAGTTTTAAAATATATTTAAAATGTTTTTATAACTAAGGCATCCTGTAATTGGCCATCAGCTGTTGTATGTAGTTGTGAAATAAAAAAAAAATTAAATAAAGTATTAACCAAAATCATGCAATAACTTATTGTTATTGTCTATATATAAATCATGCAATAATTTATATTTATTGTCTATTTTAGAGTCTCAGACCAAATCGAAGGAGAGTAAACCTAAAAAGGAAGCACACACAACTTCTGTAATAGAGGAAACATTGGATGAGGAGGACGTGGGTGGTGGAGAAGAGTTGAAAAAGGAACAAAAGCAAGAAATATTTGAAAAACAAGAAGATTATCAATTTGTCTTGAAGAAGGACGACATTAATGAAAACCAACAAACCAATCTGAAAACTGTTAAGAAAAAGAAACAAAAGTTAAAGGTCAGTAAAGTGAGCAAGGTCAAAGCAGGATTTTTATTTTTAAACTTACCATGTGACTTGTCAGTTTGTATAAAGACCTGTCCAGACTGTCAAATTTTATTTGACAAAAACATGTGACACGCATAAATATGGTCATGATGATGTCACATCACGACCTTATATGAGGCTTGCCATTCTTAAACCAACATCAGTGACCAAAAAATGAAAATTAACTTTTTACTATATTTTTATTCTCCGCATTGTAAGATTTAAAATGATGGGTCAGTTACTGGAATCAACTTACTATTGCCAAAGTTATGAGTAAAAGTATTATGGCCTGCACAGTGGCAAAATCTTTATTAAAGAAGATGACCAGACAAATAGAAAACTCGTAAATACTGGACAAAAAAATATGATGGCGTATTTGCCGCAATACAGGCTAAGCGTAATGAAGGTTGCTTCAGCATGTGGCATGTGGGATTTTCGTAAAAAAATTTTTTTTGAACAGAATTCAAAAACTGCATGAAAACATTTAATGTTTTCATGCAGTTTTTGAATTCTGTTAGCCTACAATTATTTTTTGACTGTATGTGGGTAAATATTAATTATTGTTTTCTGAAATTTAATGTAAATTATATTAATGCAAATGTTGTTTGCTAAACTGACCAATCGCAGGCCCGTAGCCAGGGGGGGTTTTTATGGTTCGGGCGAACCCCCCTTTTCTAGCGAACCCCCCAGTTTTCTAGCGAACCCCCCTAGCGAACCCCACTCGGACGGAATGTCTGTTTTTAACTTACCCAGCATTAAATCAAAATTTAGCACCTAATTCATTATTTGGTCACCCGTTTTTAAATTGTAGCCTGCGATACATTAAATATCTCAGCTTCAGAAGTTCGGAGATTTAAATTGAACGCAACTCCGGCAAACCATGACTTTACGATAGCTCACATACATAAGGATGACTTTCGCTGGCCTTTGGCTGAATGTTCGTAAGAAATGTACAAACCGGTAACGAAACCGGTCTCCGTCTACCTAGAGCAAATGACGCCACTAAACGAAGATAAAGTTTTGCGACTTAATCCACCAAATGCAGCTAAAGTTTTGCGACTTGATGATTGTGGATTATGTGGTTAGTAAATTTCATAGCCATACTGTCCATCGCGCACACTAAATTATTTGCTAATGGAGCATTTTTGGAAAATTGACTCTCCTTTTTTCCATCCCAAACAACATATTATTAATAAATCAACATGGTCCATCTCAGTCATCATAGCGAGTCACAAAATAAGTTTGTTTTCAACAGCAGACACACAACAGAACGGAGTGCGTCAAAATCTAAAAAATACGTACTGGCATTTTGTAATACACATTCCGTCGTTGTACAGTATGACATGTTTCATTAACATAACATACACTGAGGATCGCCAACGAATTGGGTGGGTATTCAAACTTTTACGATATGGTGAACTATTTCGATTAAAATGTTAAGGTGATTATATAAGAATTAGATGAGTCACTCTCAATAAAACAATTCGCGGAAGAGGAGTATTCAAAATATCAGTACTATTAATATGGGACTAATCAGATGACTGACGCCGTTCTCCATCCATCACAGTTGATTTTATGTGCATTATTTATCTACAATTCTTATCTACAGTATATACACTAGAGAATATTTACACTCACAATTAAAAAAAAAAGTTACCAACAACGACATCTAAATAGCTGTGGGAAAAACAAATTATCAGCCTGCTGCTCTCTGCCTGAATAGTGATCATAACTGATAAATAATGATGCAGCAAAACGCTTGGTCAACTTGTAAACATTTAGAGCCTTCTGTTGTTTGCCCATAAAACAAATTTTGGCGTGTTATACAGTACGATTTCAAAACATTGTCATTGTAAAGAAACAGCTATAATATTGAAAACAAACAATTTGAAACAAAATCGGTGTACGGATAAATATTTACAATAGATTTTAATGGTCAACTTGTTATCAAATTTTACGACCAATTTTTACACACATTTGTGAGTGACAGTGTGTAATAGACATGCAAAACAAACATTAGCGGTTTAATAGCTGTATAATATCTTTGAATAACATTTTAGACTGATTCATTCATATGCTTGGTCATCTTGTAATCATTTAGAATTCAACAGTTATTAATAATAAGGTCCGTATCTCTACACTTCTAGACGTAGTATCAAATTATAGTTGCCATAGACCTGGTTTCATACACACCCGCTTAAGTAAATTTCAAAGGCCCAAACTGTTTTCCCAATTTCTCTTATTGTTAAATACTCCTATGCAATACTGTAGGCCCCTGGTATAAAATTGACAGATCAATTAGACACTCTGTAAAGAGCTCTTTATATAATAAGGCCATAGGCCTAATGTGTGTGAAGTACTGACTTTGTTAATATCGAATGGGTGAAATTGCGCACAAACTTCAAACTCTTGGCCTAACATACAATGCCAGACGAAAGGATATCACGTTTTAGTCACCAAAAAGGATTTTCCACGGACGCACAGAGTAGGCCTTCTAATAGTATGGCCCAAAGCGAACGAGTTTCTGGTCTCGAAAATCCAGACACTTCGTTAAGGCTTATACAGTACAAATTACTGTACAGTATATAATTCATTGAAAACGCTTTAAAATGAAGTTTATGTATATATACTAATATTTTGCGAATCTTGGGTTTTTAAAAGCAATCTTGGGATTTTTTAGACCCAATCTTGAATTTTGATTTTCCCTAGTGGTCACGCTGCATTTAGTTTAGAGACAGAATTATACCCTGACGACATCAAACTATTGTAGGCCTAGGCTTAAGTACACTAGGACATACTACTAGGCATGTACAGGATGCGCCATAGGCCTATATTTAAAAAATAATGCATTTTGTTAATTATTATTGGTTGGCCTGGGACCTAGGCAGGCAGGCCAGCTTTGCCGTCGAAAGTCCTGGGATTCGACGATGATGTCAGTGCACATGTTTACAAACGCCATTGATTGGAATGAAAATAGACACGCTGAATTTCGTTTGTTTTATGAAAGATAGTATTTATCGAACATTTATCTATATAAATTTATATAGATTAATATTGTAGAAATTGTATTTCTAAAGATTCATATATAATTCATATTTCATTTGGTAGACAATAAATATTCAGTAAGATACTAAAAACAATTATTAATTCTGAAATGTGCATCAAATCTCAGCTATTATTAATCAGTTTGTATTAGGTTAAAGTCTTAAAACAATAATTTCGAATTAGGCCTAGTAAACAAATAATTGTAATTAAAGTTTAGGTTCCCATGATGTCAGATGACGTATTCAATATGATGCTATATTTTGGGCTCTGACTTAATTTAACGATGGCCCTGTCAGTTGTAGTAATGACAATATTTGTGCTTTTTTAGCCATGTAGTAAAAATAGTACTATTATTTTCAGTGTACAAGATGAGAGTCAAGAAGTTCAGCTCCTAATTTATTTTGTAACAGGCAACTCTATTTGTTTATATAGGCCTACTGGAAGATTCATTATTTAAGTTAAAACAAGACAAAACTTCTTAAATGTTTTATGTATTATAAATAATAAGTACATAATTCTTTGTAAATTACTTTATGCCTATAATAGCTTGTTTTGTTTTATAATAAATGTGTTGAGTATATTGATATTGATTATGCCATGAGGTATTTTTTTTGTCTTTCGGTTTGATTAAAACATGCCAATTCTCAGAAAATATTTTCCAATTTTATTATATTACCATCTTTTATTACATAGATCTTTTTCAAAACATAACTGCTTTTATAACATTATATAGACCCATTAAACACAAAAACTGCTGTGGCTTCGGAGGCTTCGCCCCAACCAAACCGGGGCCCTTAGGCAGTCCCCTGGACTCCACGCCCAGAGAACCCCCCCTTGAAATGACCTGGCTACGGGCCTGAATCGGCCGTGTTTATTTTGGTCACGTGGATAACTTATTGCAAATTAACACATTCTGCTTTACGTTCATTTCTATTGTCAACAAAGTTTATTTAATGAACCAGCCGAATGAAAATAATACTCAACGAAATATTGATGTGATTGAAACTAACCAGTTGAATACGGCCAATGATTTCAATGCTTAATTGATAATTTATTACAAATTTGCACTTAGAATGTTATGAACATGCTTTTGAATGGTCAAATAGGTTGTAACTCTAATGTACTGTTTATTGGTACAAATACTATACAAACACAGATTAAGTTGTTTATAACTTTTTTAATCTGTTTTTTCCATTTAGAAAACAACAGCTTTTTGCTAATTTCACTTCATTTTCTTTACCATTCCAGAAAGGCCTCGCTGATTTTGAATTTAAATTTTCTGGTGATGAAGAACGAAGATTCTTGCGTCACGAAGATGCTGATGAAAATGGCTACATTGATTTCAGGTAAGTGCATATAATATTTTTTACCAATTGAACATACATAGTTATAGTACTTTTTACTGTTAATTTTTGAATATATTAGTCGGTAGTATATATCTATAGATAAGATAAATATATGTTTTCCTTAATTATATAAATTGAAAGCATTTTTTAATCTGATTACTACATTGCTTAATTCATTAATACAATTTTTTTTTTATTTTCTCCTCCACCTAGATGGTTTTGGCAAAATCATTTTGCTAAATGAGAAAACAAATTTATATGTTTATTTTTTTTCCGCCCTCCTGTGGAGATCTTTAAAAAAATAAGTTTGTGAAACAAGGTATTAAAAAAATCTTGCCCAAGTAATTAAAAAAAAATAAATATAATAACCAATTGCAAATTGTTAAACAAATTGCTGTCAAAATTTGATTAAAATGGTGTTTGATATGATTGATTAGAAAGATTATTTATTTCTTAGCAAATTTTTAATGCCGTCTGTTGTGGAAGATGAAAGCAGCGTTTCCTCTGACAGTGGCTCTGGAGATGCCCAAGCTTTGTTGCTCGAAAATGTGGAAAACATTAATGAAACTGTATACATGATCTACTCGTAAGTATATTACTCTGTCCACACTAACAAATTTAATGTGCCCATATTTAGGTGTAATATGACAATAATTTGTTTTTATCTTTATAAGTATGTTTTCAGACATCTGAACTTTAAAATGATCTTACTCCGGTTGTACTTAACCTAGGAACATGATTTAAACACCAAAATAAAGCTTATACATATATCTATCTAAATATATCAGTAACTCATTTTTCGTACCACAAGACTCATTTTGTCACAACAGCTCACCTATTGCAGTTACATTTTATTTACTTTTTATTTTTTTTTCTTTATAGGTATTTTCATGCTGTTTTAGAAAAAGAAGGACCTCTGCCAATAAGTAGCAGAATTCTTCTGGATGATTTCAAATCCTTTCCACCTGAAGCACACATTATTGTAAAAGCTACTGGAGGTCTGGCTCAGTTCCTTTTGAAATCTTTGAAGTTTGCAATGTTTGAGGATCACATCTGCCTCTTAAAGCATGCAGTCAGGTGCAAGGAAATACTCGCCAGAAAGCATGGTGATGTTGTGGACACAGACTTTGATCCAGTTGGTGCACCATACCATCAATCGCCAGAACGGACTGTCAGAGACTTCCAGCCATTACTGACCCCTTTTGACATTCAGGACCTCAATGTTCATGGTTCAAAGCCCACTTTAATTCATCACATGAATAAATATATAAAATCACAAGAGACTGTAGATGGTGTTGATGAAATCAAAATAAATGACCTCGAATCAGATGAAGAAAAGCTGTCAGACGAATCAGATGCAGAATCCAGTGAAACGGATGAAAATGAGGAATTAGATGAAGATGACAGCTCTGTTTCTCAAGAAGATAATCCAGAAAAGGATGAAAAAGAATATTTAAATCCTGAAAGTGGATATCAAGTTGGTAAAATAGACATTGGAGGGATAACTGATCCCAGAAAAGAATCTTTAGTGGTTGATTTTGAAGGTGATGAAGAATACATTGATGATGAAATATTAGGGAAGGAACTTGAACTGGAAGGGTCTTATGATATTGACCCTAATGTGAATGACCATCTTGCAACTGATATGCAATCTATTCCTGACAATGGAGATGCTTTAAATATCGAGAGTAGCGTGCCTAATCCAGTGCAGCAGGCTCCAGTTTATTCATCAAATAAAGGTGATGAACGCAATGATTCTGGAATAGGCACTGTGTCACCCAATGATATGGAACCAGTTAATCAATCTTCAAATTCAAAAGATGATGAAATAGATGGCAAATTTACAAGTGATTCAAGTTCTATTCTTCCACCAGAAATACTAGAAGGCTTCTGTCTCAACAAGCCCACTCCTTTTGGACCAATTATAAAGTCTGAATCATATGAATCATATTCCATAAGTAATTCAAACGGGTCTGAAGAGAATTCGGATATAGTAGACGATAAAAATGTTGAGGGAGAGAAGATTTGGCATCAAGGGTTTGATTTAGTGACTGCTTTAGAGGCAGATTTGGACTGGTTTACTCTGGAAAAGACTTCAATTTTTGATCCAGAAGAGATTGATGATGTTATACAAATACCAGAATATGTTTGGAAGATGACTCTTTCTAGTATCATTAAGCTCAAAGATCATTGTACTGCTATTCAAAAAAAGATATCGCATATGAAGACGAAGTATGTACAGTGCACCCCAAAATCAAAGAATATTGGTCTCAATACAACACCTTATGAACCATATAAACAGGAATATTTAGAAATGGTGGCTAAAAATGATAATCTACAGGTAATTTTTCTAAGTCAAAGTTCTTATTCAATATATTCTACTTCCTCAAACTTTTTTTACAATTTTAGATTGTATAAATATTTAATTAATAATTCTTTCTTTAAAATAAGTTTCTTTTAGCTTCATTATTGCATTGATGACAAACTCTTTTTTGTAAAATCTAGTAAGAAACGGAGTACTTGCGTAGGATGTTTCGATCTCTAACAGTGATCTTTGTCCTAATTTAACATTGAAATTTGGAAATATTGACTTAGGCCCCTCGGGACACTCAAAAGCCACATTGTTTGTAGTAACACCCGAGTTAACTACATAAAATTGACGGATACTCTCCTGGGAGGATTATTCGAGGAGCTAAGAACTGGATTCAAGTCTCAACTTCCTTGCTGGGTCTTAAATCCTTGTCCACAACTGCAAGAGGCAGGAACTTCATCATTGGATGCTCAGCTGATGTTCTTGTGCTGATTTGTGTAGTCTTATTCCAAGAATACTTACTTTTATTCCAAGAATACTCACCTTAAATTAAGCTTCCTCTGTAGAACAACAGGACTGATTTTGTAATTTATATACAACCTTTCAGGAGATTTTAAAAGATACGATGACTAAATATACGTACTTGAAACAAAGTGGTGTAGCAGAAACTTCAAGCTTAAGAGAAGAATTGAAAACCATGAAATTAGAGAACGAGGTGAGTTTATTTAAATTTTAATATTAAAATTTTTAATATTTATATTATAATTTATTTTATTTTATTTTATTTTAAATAATGTTATTTCATCTCTATCCAACAGTGTATAATGTGTATGTAGTAAAATCTAGGTTGTAAAAACTACTGCATCATAAATTTAATAGAATAATGCCGCGCACACACTCTTGTCAACAGTGATGTCGTCAGGGTCTGCTCGATGGAGTAGCTAAAGGGCGAGTGGGGGCTAAACAAGTGAAGCAGGCATTTTGGCTGAGGGCCGTCTGGGGCTGCCGATGGGGGAGGAGACGGAGGAGCCCCAGGAAGCTATGAATATTAAGCAATTGGTGAATTATTCGTTTACAAACTGATGTAGCCAGTGGCGCAGATTCCATATTTTGGTAGGGGGAAATAGTTTGAATTGACCCACTTAGGCTGGGGGAGGGGGCTTTGGTGAAGTGCTGTCTGCTGATAATTGTTGCAGCCTGAGGGGATTGTAATTTTGATTTGATTTGATTGATCAATATCTCAACTGTACATACAAACAAAAATATACAAAAGGGAAAAAAAAAACATGTTGAAAAACGAAATGATACTTGGATAACCCTATTAAGGGACTTATTTCCAGAGGGGTCCATATTAATAATGATCTGTTGGGCGCCTCATCGCATTTGATGCTCCATGGCATTTTGTCAGCTGACGACCCTCGGTGCAGGGTGTGCCCCGGCTTATGTTATCAACTTCCAATAAATCTCAAATAGACACAATTTTTACTTGTTTGTTTATTTCACAAAGATTATTAAATTGTAAAAAAGTAAAAATAGAAAGTGTTCTACTTTAATTAAGAATGTATTCTATTTTAATTAAGAATTTTAATTAAGATATTTTTTTTTTTTATACAGGAATTGTCTAAAAAACTGAACGAGAAATTAGCTCTTGTAGAACAGAATAAGAAGAAGTGGCATACAGAACGGTCTTTGTATATTAGTGAAGGAAAGACTAAAGATGATAAGTTACAGACGCTAGATGAGGATATACTAAAGTATGTATGCTGTATCACTTTTATAGAAACTTTTTCTTTTATGTATAATAGTATGTGAAGTGTTTTTTTGGTAGAACATGAAGTAAGAGTGTGGGGATTGTACAAACCTGTTTTTTTAAAGGTATTTGTGGTCTACACCACCATGGATAGGAAAACAAAAAATGGTGTACGAATGAAAAAATAACATCTTACTCTTGATTTGAATGAAACAAAACTAATCTAAATTAATGTATGCAAAAAAAGAAACTTTTAGATTTTGTTATCTGCTAAAAATATTTGGTTTTTTTTCAATCCACTTTGTAGAATGACAACTGAAATGTCTAAAAAAGATCACAAGCTTAACCAAATGTCACAACACATCTTAAAAGAAAGGTGAGTTTTTATAATAATAATATTTTTTTTTTCAATTCAAATAATTTTTATTAATATATATTCTAATATGAAACTGATAATATGCATTCACAATTCATGAAACTTAACTTATTTTGCTCAAACTTGTATCATCTAACAGAATGGATTTTTCTGTGCGTCAATAAAACTTCACAATTGACCAATCAGATTGAATTTTTCTATAAGCTCTACAATTTTTGCATTCAGGGTACTGTATTCTCTCTCTGGTACACACAATTATTTTAGTTGCAACTTTTTCTTTTCAGAGAAAATTTTAAGGCTGAGAAGAATAAATTGAAGGAAATGATTGAGATAAATTCCCAATCATCTCAGGCCTTGAAAAACAGAGCTGAAGAGTCAGAGGTAACAGTATTTTTCAAAATATCTGGAAGTCCCCCAGTGGTAGTTGCCAGATTATCAGAAATTTTCATTTTAAATTTTGCAAAAATTATGTAAAATTTGTAAATTTAATGTATTCCTTCATGTGTCTGTATTTTTTCATTACAAATTATTTCTGGTTCTTTCTACATTTGTAGGTTAAACTATTGCAGTCGATATGTACCAATCAGTGTAAGACATTAATGGATGTGATCAAGGAGGCAGAGACCAATCGAGATAAGTTGGTCAACTCTGACCAAGGGTTAGTCGAATCTTATGACAATATTTAATTTAAAGAAACTACATTATCGTAATACTGTACTAACATAGTCATTTTTATAACCTTGACAAAAGTTTGCAGTAATTTTAAATCAATTTTGCTTGGTTTATTATCAATGAAGCAGTTCTACAGTACATATATCATATATACAATATTTGTATAAATTATCATACAGTCATTGTGTAATTATATGATACTATGATTTTAACAAGTCATAATAATATAGAATGTTTGTATAATTTTAATTTTTTGTAATGTGTTTTTTTAGAGACACAATGGATGCTATGAAAACTTGGCAGGAAACTGTCGGTGTAAATACAAAGAAAGTTAGAGAAGTCAAGGTAGGGGGTTTGCATTTATACTTTATTTTGTATTTTATATATTTTGTGTCTTATTTTATTTGAATTTTATGTTATATTTTTTACATCTAACATTTATGCACTTTTTTTATATCGGCCTATTTGTAAATCAGTAACACTTTACTAGGTATTAGTAATTATTTTGATTTTTTTTTTTTAATAGAGTATCTATGATGGGTTGATCCAAAAAGTCAAGTCGGGTACACCATTGGATAAATTGCTACCAATTGAAGATGTTTTACCTTTTTGGCCTCCTCCACAATCAGTAAGTTTCTTCTATTCAATTCACATTCAATTGTAAATTGGAGATATATCTTCATGCTTGAATGAACTTTATGCTTGATTGAGTCTTGAGGTTATATGTATGAGTCTATAGTATCTTAACAGAGGGGATTGCATATGGTGGAAGAGACTCCCTAAAGATCTTTGACAATTTTCTTGGTCATTGTAGGTCAGGCCTTCAAAAAAAGCAGTTTCGGCTGATGTTGATGCAGATCAAGCAGGCAATCCAAAGGGTCAATTAAAGACTCCTGCTACCGCAACAGTGGCATCATCAAATGCAGCCAGCCAGAAAAATACCTGGTTAAGTGCCCAACAAAATGAAGCCAGACGAAGAGAAGCATCCTACATGGCTTCCAACTCGCATAAAAAAAATACTACACAGAAGTTGTACGAAGGGTATCAAGACAACTCTCAGTGGCAGCAGCAGCATCTCCAGCAACAGCAGTATCAACAGCATCAACACCAGAATCTGACTCATGCATCTCAAAATAATTTAACAACACATATGGCTGGACAATTTACACAGAGCCAGCCTGCACAAGTTTACAGTAATCCCTTAGGCAGGGGAGGAGGGAACCTCCACGCAATGGCTCAAGGTGGTCCACCAGATGTGCTCCACAGTGGGATATCTCACCCAAGTCATACGGCAGCTTCTTACAGTGTTCCACAAAAGGCTGCTACACCTACTTCCTCTACAACACTTGAGAACAAGAAAAATCCAACAGCGGCATTTGCAAGTGCTGCAAAGCCTTTCGTGGTCCCAGAAAAGAGCCAAGCTAGTGTGCAGCAGCAAACACACAGTTTAGGTATGTTTGTATGTATACTGCTGTTATAAGTAAAATAGACCTGTGAATGTTTGTTTATGATCCTGGCAAAAAATCCACCTAAAATATACTTAAATGCTCTTGTTTACACTGATGAAATTGATCAGGTTTCCTGTGTTCTTAGTCCAATTCCATAGGGCTTATTTTATTTATTAAACTTGATTTTACCCAAAACTATGGGATCTTCTTTGCATATTTGATTATTGGATATTTTTGATTATGAAATTGATTTATTGTAAGAAGGAAGACAATTTTCATGACTTACTGATGATTTCATAACAATAAAATTCATTCTGATTCTAAAGAGTCTAACATTTTGGTTTAAAAAGGATTTATTCTGGTATCTTTTACTTACAGGAGCAATGGCAGGAAACAAAGTTTCTGGACGATACGTTGGCCCCATTCCAGCTGCTCCACCACACCTTAAGAAAAGTTTTGATAAGCTTATCTACCAGCTGGGTGTTATATTTGACAATCGATATACAAAGTAATTTTATAAAAATTTTATAAACACTTACTAGTACATAATATACAGCCATTACTCAATCTCAATATAATGTCTACTAAAATGCATATATGAGAGGGACAATTGTAATGGGTACAGATTCTGCCACCAGGGGTGTAGCAGAGTGTGGAGCTTCCTTATCCAGTGGAAATTTGCTATGTAAAAAAATAACACTAAAATCACCTCATTATTCCAGCTAGTGCCCACACATTTACCTTCATGTCCCCTTCCCCATCAGCCCCCTCTATGTTGATAACTGTTATTCCACTAACTACCACAAATCCGCCCCTGAGTACATCAAATATATGTGCACTTGTGTGCATGCCTGTATCAACCTTTGGGACAAATATTACTTGTGATACTTTAAAAGTACTCTGATGATTAGTGGTATAAGTTTAAATTTAATGTGTTGGAGCTTAAGTTTGCTGATAGCAAATCAGAATGGTTTGGACTTCATAGGAGGGGAAATAATAACAGGGAGTTTGAAAGCAGATGAGTAGGGCAGTAATGAAGTACAGTATGTGTATATGCATGTGTATCAATCATTTTGGTAAATCACTGCTCCAATATCCATATCATTACATTTAAATTTTCAGAGGACAGTTGGCGATGTTTTTAAACAAGGTCCGTGAAGCTAATGGTGGCTCTTTATCTGGACTGCCTGCCAAGGATATTATTGATCGAGTTGTGAAACTGGTTCTGAAGAGGGAGGAAGATCATCCTGTAAGTTTTTTAACATGCCATGGCTATGGTTACGCCAGTCTTAAGCCAACTCTGATTGGCATACATACAATAACATCTAGTCAGAATTAGGAATTGGTTTACAACTGGTGTAACAATAGCCATTGCATTTTTAATAATGTATTTTGGTTTTTTTTTTATAATAGATGAGCATATAACAAATTGAGAGCAGATGTTGTACAGAGTTCACTTATCTTTCAGGTAAATCAACCAGCTAAGCAGGCTTATCCAAAGAAGTTGCCACCTGGTATAAGTACAGCAAGGGAACCTGGGACATGGAAGACAATGCCAATAAAGCAAACAAAGATTTTGAATTTGGAAGAGGAAGACCCATGTGTGATATGCCATGAGGAAATGCCAATGAAGCCGGTCAGCAAGTTGGAATGCCAGCACGTGTTCCACACGGACGTAAGAAGCTATCCATGATAATTATTAAAACGTTCCCCATTGGACCTTTCCACTAAGCCCCGCCCCTTGGATATTGTTGACTATGGTCCCACAAAACAGCAGTGTAAAATCATACGCGTTGTGTTTGTAGGACACATGCATATTCCTGGCCCTGTTTGATCAGCTTTTAAGATTGATTGACACTTTGGAAAGGTCTTATTTACTGTAAATTTTTTTTTATCTAATTCAAAATAATTATATATAACTACAAATCTGAAAATAGCTTATCTTAAAAAAATACCACTAAAGATTTAACTTTGTTGTGCTTTCACTAATTTTGTTTCAATTTTGTTTTATTTATGATTTCCCTATTTGAGAGCATTAAGTCAATTTAGATGAGTGATTGATTGATTAATTGAAGACACATTTGCTACAAATTCCAATACATTACAATATAATAGTTAGCCAAAACTGTGTTAATTCATATAGATGATTTATTTTTAGTGTAAAACGTAACCATTAACTTGCATGTTATTTCTTGTCTCTTTTTTCAGTGTATTCAGCGATGGATGAACGAGCAGAAGACATGTCCCACGTGCCGAGAGTTTGTCCTCCTTCCTGATGACTACCCATCACTTTAATTGTATAGTTTTAAGAATTCTACTTTTTAATCTGAAGTTGTTTTGAGACCTACCCTTATCTGACAAATTTGGCGGCTAATGTTGGTGTTGGTATTGTTGTTTCTCCAATGAATCAGTGATAAGGGTGTTTAGTTAGATTGAGTTAAATATAGATCATAATTAATAAAACATGGCTGTGGATTACTTATATTAATAATAATAATTTTGATACTGATTGAAGAAATGATTAATAACAATACTGTACATCTTAACCAAAAAAAAGTAGAAATAATGACTAATTAATAATAGTAATTATAATAATTTGTAAATTTGAGCAATTACAGACAAGAAGTGTTTTAGGCTGTGAGTCACAAATGCCATAATGAATTTGATACTCTTTGTAAACAGGGGCAGCGATTCCAAATAAACTCAGTCTGGGGCCACATTCCCTGCTTAAGAAAAGTTCACAATAGATTTTGGACTTAAGTGGGGGAGACACAGGTACGTTGATGCATTTTCTGAAGTTAAGTGGGTTAGTGATATTGGTGCGATATTAGGGAGCTATACTAGTTAAGTGCATTATTGCCATAAGTGTGATGATAAAAGTGTATACAAGAGCAAACATCTTAATACCTTACACTTTGAATTGATTGGAGATGCTTCAATGTTCAACTTGGCCAGCATAGCAATCACCCTGTCTACAGAGGGTAGGAGGTGAATGAAACTACTGTATTTAAGGTGGTATGGGTTTAGGATTTGATCAAGTATGTACTTGTTTGTAGTCGTAATTGTGAAAGTAGTTTTGTAAGCCTACATGAAAGAAGATATTCAATCAGTTTGAAGTGAACCGAAGTTGTGGTTTTACACTTCATATAATTTGACTGTTTTACTGCTCATTTCTCAACCCTATTTCAAGAGTGTTTTTTGGAAATGGAGTGGTCTCCCAAACCTTTTGTGAGTAAGCAAAAATATTCCGCAAACTGACTGACTTCTGCAAATTCACAAGTTTAGTTTGTTTTGTCAGCTGGTCGTAGGTTACACACTGTATCAAATAGAATAAGATGTGTTAATGAAAGTCAATTAAACTAGGTCGCCCAGAATTGGCGGCTTCCGACATGAATTGCTTGCTATTTTTAAATGAGTAACACCTATTCATGGGCATGGGCTGGGTTTATTAGGTGGGGAGAGGGTGCTGATGTACTCAGTGGGTTAAAATGCTAAAAATGACCAATTCGTTTTCATTGGGATAGAGAATTAGTTATGCATTCCTAAATCTCTCCCCCACCCCCAGGTCAAAACCTGGCTAGGCCCCTGCTATTGGTGTGTAAATTGTTTAACAGGAGAGCTACGCTACTTGCTTGGAAGATGTTAACGAAAAAAAAAATATTGATACCAGTTAGTGAGAATTTTAATTATATGTAGTACATTATCCTAAACTGTACTATACTGTGCCATCCTCCAAGCAATGTTTTGCTTGAAGGATCAGACCTAAAGCCTTTCTGACTTATTGTTTCCTGCACACACAATGAATGAGTAATCATACATTTTTATTTTTATTAAGAAGTTCTATTTTGCTCCATATTATTGTTATTTTGAATTTGTGAACCCATATTACTATTTGGCGTGTTCTGATATTGTATTCATTGTGTGAAACAATAAAATGAAACTGAAAAAATACTACTCCAGTATACTATGATTAATATACTAAACTATACTGTATTAGTAACTAGAGTCCCTCCCCTTGGATATTGTTGCCAAGGTCCCACAGAACGAGTGTTAAAACATTACGCAAACCCCCTCAACTGATCATCGAGCCCCACCACCCACTTTACCTTCGCGTCCCCCATCAGCACCCCCATTTCAAGACTTCTAGATACGCCACTGAACACGCGTATTCCTTGCACTGTCTAATAGATCATTACAGTAGTTCAATTTAATTAACATTTCGGAAAGCTTTGTTGTACCAACTGCTTTACTTCTGCTGGTGGAAGATGCATATCATGTATATCCATCCCTCTAGAAACACTCAAAATATCAAAGTATAGTGTTGAGCTGTTTTCTATGAATAATCATAATGCTACCATAAAAATATCATTACATTTACTAGTTAATTCTCTTCTTTTAATCTTTTATTTCAAATAAGTAAAATAAACATTAAATAAAACAGTTTATAACAGGCACTAGGTAATGTAATAGAGAAGACTGATGTTTTTTTAGATGGATATCAGAAGTGGTTATATAAAAAAAAGAATATCTTCAGTGTCATTATTTTGTAAGAGGTTTAATGGTTAATATAGGCTTATAATCTCGGCATACTTTTTTTTCTTACCTATTCCTGTAAACATTAAATACTAAAGTTGCATAGTATATTACTTAATGATGTTCATAATCAGATGTGTTTATTTCTTTCACAAATTTCTGTGACTGGGGTGGAAATGACAGAAACCCCATAATCATTAGCTTACTACAAATGAATTTAGCTAGTTAAAATAAAATAAAATTGCTACATGCTATAGCTGACAGCTTTTGGTGAAGCTCATTGGTCAAAACGGTTGCCAGGGGGACTGAAACTGTTCTAGCTACCTTGTAGTGAGTTTGTGAAACCAGGCTTCAAAGAAATATAATACTCCAACATATTTAATTTGAAATTGCAGTTGATTTTGACAATATTTTAAAGATGTACAAAGGCAACTTGATTAATGTTTTTACTTTCGTATTTGTGAAAAAAATTTGTTTTTTTCTTCAAATAAAAGGCAGAAACAGACATTTTGTCGTTTTTTTTTTTTGTTCAGCTACCAAGTGCGATCCACATCTGATGTCCAGTATAAAGAGTAGGAGAAATACAAGAGAGACCTCCACGGTTCAGTGCACACACAATGGCTACCACCGGTTTAGCCGATTGAGCTAACCCACTCTGCACCACCACTACCTCTATGCAATAAGCTACAGTTAATGCCTATACAATAATTGTGTTTAAATATGAGACAAACAATGGACTTTCAATGACTAAAATTTTAATGAATAATTTTTTCATGTCTACAGAATCAAGTAGTTAAATCTATTTGCAGTGTAGTACAATAGAACATAAAGAAAACACTATCAACAATTATACTTATTATGTACAAATATATAAATTATACACTTCAGAAAACTGCTGCTTTTACTCATTCACATATTATTAATCAATGCTTGTAATTACCCCTCTTATGAACACCTTAATAGCCAATGCCAGGATTAACAATATAATACCCAATTTACACAACAAAATTTTACATGGGATGTGTGCTAATTGCTACACAGATTTGATATATTATTTTGAGATTATGTGACCTTTACACAAGCAAATATAAACCTTGTTAAAAGTTAATTCATATGAAGGAGTTAAATATACGCATGATGCTACAGTATAAGTGCAGATCCTTGATAAATACCTCAGGAGTGTTTCTGTCAAGTTTGTTTTTCTTGCATGGATGTTACACGGGACACATTGCTAGTCTTGCTCGAAAAGGTATTCACATGGACACAATTTAGCAGTGAAAACATCCTAAGGTTTACCTACAGTAGCTGGTAGTATTTCTCATGTGAATCGGGTTAATTAGATTAACCTTGCTAGGGTCTCTTGACAAAAATGAAACAAGCAAACACATCTATATTGTTTATGGGTTACCTTTTTAGGGACACATTTAATTTTGGGAATATTGAAGTTTGGAAGAATTTTATAGTTTAATACAATTTGAATCTTCGTGGTTATCAGTATGATAATGAAAAAATAGTGGAAGAACAATGACTTATGTTTACTTTGATGGGATTGGAGTCATAAAGGAAACTTGACTATAGATTGTCTTTCTTTGGAATGTGTTTACTTTGGCTACCTCTTGAAATTTCAACATAACATACTTAACAATATACAGTTACAAATATAAATGGATAATGAATGTTTAGAATTTGATTTGATACTTTGGTTTCTGTGGAAATGAATTTTGAATACTGCTCGCTGGAGCAGCATAACATTCTGGTCATAAGTATTAGAGAAGAGATAACTACTGCACCTCGGAACAATACAGAACAACTAGTAACAGATTCATTGAGAGAAAAATAATACCTTAAGAAACCTTCAAATTGATATTATATAAAATAATACTAAGTTTCATAGTGTCATAACTAACAATCATTTATTTTAATCACCATTGTACAAGTCAGCAGTTATCATAAATGGTTTATCATTTCACATCCTTTCTAAATGTCATTCTAACTGTACAATATATTTTTTGAATAATGTGTTTTAAAGGTCCTCTTGGTAGAGGTTGTATAGCAACTGAAGATATTGTATCCTGTTTTATAGCGTGACCACAGGCGCATCTATCCGCCGTGCAACTTCTGCGCAGTATTTGTCTGGTACTCCAACAGCTCTGTAAAAATATAAAATATGTCATATGATTATCAATAATACATCATTAAATATTTAAATAATGGAAAAAAAAAAAACATTTTCTTGAAATAAGTAATCAACTTTCCAATAAAAATTTCTGTTGAAGGATAAGAATTAGATATTAAATAATTTTGTATACAATTTTACTTAGCTACAACAACAATACTGTAATATACGAAGTACAACATTTTTCAGATATTCGAAGCATGATGATAAATATCATTATGATTAAAATCTTAGGCACAACCAACCTCAATTCACTGAGCTTCTTCTGTTTGATGGCATCAAGTTTGGCACGACGTTCCCTAGCTTCTTGGTTAATCTTAATTCCCTCCTCAAAGAATGCATTCTTCTCGTTAATCTTCAGAACCTCTTTCTCTCTGATCTGTTTGCGAACACTTTCAGCATAAGCACGTTGTCGTTCATGAGTTTCAGACTCTTTTTCTTTCTCTTTCTGGTTAGCAGAGTGTTGAGCACTATTTAAAATATACCATCAAGAGGAATGAAAATTTAGAATTTGCAGTGCAGAAAACAATTTCTAACTGAACAAAGGACTTGACACCTAAAATAATATAGTTTTAAAGGCAGTCTTGGTGCATTAGGATTGTATTTTTTTTTTGACAAATTTGAAATTACTGCTTGCAATTATTAAGATTATTTATTTAGGCACATAGCCAAGGACTGCTAGCAGCAAACATATATCACTTGTCATATTATGTTACTGGCAATTTCTTGTGAGCCTTAGGGTGTTGAGTTGTTTTGGTTGTGAGAAAAAATAATGTCACTGACAGGAATTGAACCCGGGACCCTGGGATTGGCAGGTAAGCATCTTAACCACCAAAATACAGGTTTATTGAAAAAAAAAATGTGGAAAAGGTAAAAGGTGTGGTGGATTGGTCCGTACTACGGATGTGAGTGATAGAAAGAAACACTTACTTGAGAACACGTTCGAATTCGGCTCTCTCTCTTTTTGCCTGCACTGCTAGGAAGTGTTCCTTATTGCGTACCTGAAGTTCACGCGCAACCTTTAACATTTGCTCGTTTTCGGCCTGCTTGATGGCCGTTTCTCTCTCTTTCTGACGCCACTCTCGTTCTCTCTGCTCTTGGTTGCGCTTAGCTCTCAAGGCATCCTTTTCTGCCTGGTAGTCTTTAGCACGTTCCTGTAAAAATTTAGATTAAAAAAAACCGCATTAGATAGAAAGCCTGCAAGGCCTGAAGGAAATTTTTGAATGCATTAAATATAATAATTTCTATTTAGTGTACGATGCATGCTCTACTAATTGCTTTATAAGTCAATCGCCATCTTTTAATTTTAGTTTTTTATAACCAACTGTTGTAGCAGTCATCAGTTGCTATAGTGATATGATCAGTACACTGTGTGTATATTTACATTTAGCTGTGCATATGCTGAATTTTGCTCCTGCAGTACGCGTTTAACTACACATCAGCAGTACAGTACGGATAAGATGAATAACTATTGTAATTTGTATTGTGTTAGAAAGAACTTGTTTGTAATGCTATTTTAATAGACTTTCGCCAAAGAAATAAACATTTCAGCATTCCAAAGGGAATACAGTGTCCTTTTTGTTCGGTGCATGCAGACAGGTAAAATCGTGCGATGATTTCATATCTAGGCTAGGCTACGGCCTAGTAGTAGTAGGAGGCCTGGGCGGCCTCTTGCCTGGCCGTAGGCCTACATCTAAATTTGTTCCTTGAGTCTTTAAAAAAGGTCTAGAATATTCCTATTAAATGTTCAGTTTGTTGTGTTTATGAGGGTCCATTGATTCAATGAATCTCTTAATTGTTTATAATTATTATTAAATTTGTAGTAACTTTCTTCAGGTTCTAATTAAGCTTGTTTTACGAAAGTAATTTTCAATTACAATTCAATTTTTATCCCGGTACGCGATGCCTTTGCGGTGACGAAAAAATGAGGAATTTTATTTTCCACAAGAACCTAAAAAAAATCAAGCCAAGCGTCCACTAATTGAAAAATTAGTGGACGGTGAGGAATAAGCAAATAACATTGGGAATTGCAGTGATGACGTCACGATCGACTTATAATTTTAAATAGTGAACTGTTAGTGTGCCAAAATCAGCATCAGTGACCAAAACAAGAAAATTGACTTTTTAATATAGATAGTGTGGACACAGCTTTAGGCAAGAGTTTTATAATAATGCTTTACAGTGTGGACACAGCTTTAAGTAAGAATTCATCTTCTCAACATTATAAGCTTTAAAATGATGGGTCATTTAATGGAATCAACATATTGCTAAAGTATGCAATTTACTTAGTTTAACAATTAGTGACAGTACGCTGGTTTTGAGACAACAAACGTCATATTTGTTGAATTAGGGTTCATCTTCCCCAGACGGGCTGTCCTTAGCTCCAATCCATTTGACACCATATTTTTTAGTATTCTGATTATTATTGTTATCATCACCATCATTTTCATTTAAAGCACAAAATATAAAAATACTGTATAAATCTATACCTGCATTGCTCTGAGTCTTGCGATTTCTTTTTCTTTCTCAATTCTTTTGAGTTCTTGTTCAGCCTCAAATTTAGCTTCCCTCTCTGCTTTCTGCTTTTGATACTCAATGACTTTCAAATCAGCCAAACGCTCCTGCTCAACTTTACGCATCTTTGTGCCTTCCTGTTCTTCGTTGGCGCGTTTAATTTCTTGCTGAGACTCCAGTTGGATTTTTCTTTTGCGTTCCAATTCCTGGTGTTAGATACAAGGGCAAAATTAGCATGGTAAATTGCTCATACCTCTTTAAATATAATACTAAAACACTGATTTTTACAATTCTGACAAAAATTAGACATCGCTAAGAGTTCACATCAATGATAATAAGCAATAAATATACTCAACCAAAAAATACCCAAAAGCAATCTTCAACCTAGTCCTAATGAAAACTAATCTTCTTACTTTAAAAAAGCAAGTAGTAATAGCATTACAGTATTATTAATAGTAGTGTCTAAATAATAAATGATAAATGGACATCACCTACCGTAATGTCTTCCATCTGAAGTTTTTCAAGATATCGTAGCATTTGTTGAGCCTCTTGGTCTTTCTTCTCTTGTTCTAGAAGTCTGTCTTCCTCTCGTTGTGCAATCTGCTTCAGTACCTTAGCTGCACCCCTAGCGGAATTAATAAATATTAATTATTAATATTTACGCTAATTAATTTTACTCACACAAATGCCAACAACACATTATAAACACCATCACAATCTGTTTGAAATGTTTGCTGATGCGATGATTTAATTACTTGTAACATTGTGTGAATTAAACATCTTCACTCCCTAAGCTTCATAAAAATACTTCACTTTGACAACATCTTTTCATATTGTATTTGAAAAGTGTACTTCTTATTCAAACTTCAAATATTTTTTACATGCATACATATTTTACTGTACTTACTCATATCTTTCTACTTTCCTCTGGTTCTCAATTTCCTCCTGTAGAATTAATGCATTTTGTCTCTCAATTTCCATCATCTGATCTAGTCTTCTTTCTTCCTCAGACATTTCTGTTTTAATTTGTTCCTTTTCCAAAAGCTGTGCATCTCTGATGGCATGGCATTTAGCATTCAGAATCAACTGAAATAATATCAGTAAACACAACCTAATTAAATATCGCTTCAATCAAGCTATCAAAGTAACTCATATGGTGTACATACAATGTTATGTTTCTTACTAGACTTCATAGTCTATTTTCAATACCCAACTCTTATCCAGGAATAGCAAAATCAATTTCTGTGCCATTATATTCAGTTAATATGTCAAAATGGTATTTTTTAACAAAGCAACAGTGCTTACTTCATTTAAATGTTTTATGTCATCTTCCTGCTCCTCACGTTGCTCCCTCGCTCTCTCCAACAGATACTCAGCCTGCTTCTGTGCCTCCTCCTCAAGTTCATTCAGTTTTTCATTCCTTTTCTTGTTTTTATCCAGAGCTTGCAGATGATTCTTCACAGCTGCACTGGTTTCCTGTATGTGTGAATGTAAAACTTGTGGATTAATTTTTACTTGGTAACCCTCTGAAAACATAAATTTTATCAAAATAACCTATCAAAATAATGACATTCATATCCTCGACCTGCTTCAGCTGCAAGGGGCTCTCACCAGGCTCCCCTTGAATCCAACAGGCACCCCCTGGTCTCCACCAGGTCCCTCCTGGACCTCACCAGGTACCCCTGGACCCTTGGCTACAGGGCTGTTGTCTAACAACAGAACATACCACAAATTATTTTCCTTTTGTACTACTGATAAAAAAAAAGTTCAGAGTTCATTTTATTGGTCACAGTAGTGAATACAATACCTGAAATTTGCTTCCCATACCTGTATTTCCTGCTTATGTTTCTTCCATGCAAGATATTCAGCATTCTTTTCATCCTCGGACAATACACGTGACTTAAGGAGGATTCTCATGTACTCACTTTGAGGAAGAATCACAGACATTCCTGAAGGATCTTCTTTTGGAACTCTGATAAGATATAGAAAATTGTAAAATTAGATTTTTGTTCAATTTTTAAAAGGCAAAATGATATTTACCTGTTAATAATGAGCATTGAATAGAAACAAAATATCCAGTGGCGTATCTAGAGTGATGCGCATGCTCCTCCAAAAATTACTCTCGCCCACCAGTCGCCTTCCCCCCAAAATCACAGTCAAGTAGTTAAAAATCACCTAAAATACCTTATTTTGTGAAGTAGCACTCCTTAACTGATCATCGAGGCCCCCTCCCCACTTCACCCCATCAGCATCCCCATTTCAAGACTTCTACATATGCCACTGAAAATATCCTGTGTTAGAATTGTATGTCAGGTGTGCAAGCTCTCATAATGACATGATAAAATGGTCTATGGGTTTAAGTCTGGTGTTTAATAAGATATCATTTTCTCTATTAATTTATACATTCTATTTTAATTTTTTTAATAGCACAAATTGCAATTGCAATTAAAATGAACAATAGGAAATACAGGATGTGATGGGTTGAAACTTACACAAGTTTCCTAATAAGATCTTTGGTAATAACTTGAACTTCTTCCTTTCCCTTTCTGCTTGAATGTCTGTTTTTTTTGTTATGAGTCCCGGAAAATGTATCGGTTGTAAGTTCTGGTGCACTGCGTTGTCTCTGTGCTGGATGTGGTTTTGTTGCAAAAAGTGACTCATCGACATTTGAAGTTTTGCTGACGGTGTAGTACTGTCGAGTTTTGGCTCGCCTCGACCCTGCACTGGACCCTACAGAACTTACCATGCTACGAGGCTGGAAAAGTTTGGAAAATACATACAATAGTTATCTAGGCTAGGCCTAAATTAAATAATTATAATACTTTTATTATTAGGCCTAGGCTTAATATTGATTTGACAACTGAAGACATCAGAAAGAAATGTTTCTGGAATGTTGTGATGGGGGGGGGGGAAAGAACATGAAGAATAATTAGCCTATTAAACAATAATTAATATCAGGTCTAGCTAGGCCTAGCCTAATAGCTTATTTACTAGGCCTGAGACTCAGTTAGACCCATCTAGCCTACCAAAGTAGGACTAGCACTAATTAACAATGGGCCGCTGCCCAGTCTAACCTAGGCCTAGAGATAGGCCTCCCTGGGCCTAGGCCCTAGACAAGGGCCTCCACCCGCTAGACTAGCCCGCACGGCGCATGAGCCGCGCCGCATGCAAACAGCAATGTGATGGCCTACGTTTTTAACTGATGCCCATCCAACCATATGGGAACCAACTACCTAAAACAAGGTACTCGAAATTAAGTGTACAAACATAATTACTTACCATTCTTGTCTGATTTTACCTAAAACAAATTAAATCTATAAAGGTTTTCTTGTTTTCATAACACAACCCAATCTGCCAGACGTACTTCCCTTGTTATTCCGGCGTCAGTGTACCGCTGTAATTATTGTTGCTATGATGGCTGTGACCTTATTCGTAGAGTTGCTATGAAGTAAAGCGCCCCTTACTAGGAAGTTTTTCTTTTTGTTAGGGGAGGTCGAAGGTTGTGAATGAGGACGTTCGAAAGCATAATAACAGTACACATGTGACAGTTTTGTCTGTTGAATGCCTTACTTATTTCACATTAATAATAATAATTTATTAACAAAATGACATCCGCTTGCTTTCTTAGGCGTCGTATGTATTTCCAATGTCGGAGTGAGTATTTTTCCTTTGTTAACTAAGTCTAGGCTACGCGAAGGCTAGCTAGGCTACTAGGCCTAGGCCTACGTACTAGGCCTAGTACTAGGCTAGGGCCTAGACTAGGACCAGGCCTAGCCTAAGTTTAAGTTAAGTTAGGGCAGGCCTAGTTAGGCGCAGCCAGGCTAGGTCTAGCTAGCCTAGGTCTAGTACATATATTCGGCTAGGGCTAGGCTTAGCCTAGCTAGTGGCCTATAAGCAGCTAGCCTGTATTAGTAGGCTGATGGATTTCTAGGTCTAGTGTTTGCGCAGAAAAGATATTCCCTGTGCAGACCTTACTTTACAGTCTGGCCTCATTATTAATCCTAGTAGTGTACTACTCGCACACATTTCACTTTCCCTTTAACAGTGTCCTCAAATTTAGTTCTGTTTTTAGAACAAAGTACTGGTAATTGGGATTTCGTATTATTTTGTATATTGATAGTATTATTGATTATTTTCATGAAGGATGTTTCACAAATGTGGCAAAGCAAACAACACCAGAACCTGTGATGAGACAGAACAAACTATTCGATGAAGAGGCTGAAAGACAACTACAAATGGTGAAACGCCTTGAGAAGATCAATGTGCAACACCTGGGTCCGAATGATAAATGCACATTTGTGATGAACAAGAAACTCTCCACACCCTATCATTGTGCAATGCGTAAGATGTTATTTTTAGCCAAAATTTATTACTGTATGGTTTTAATAATTAAATATATACTGCTGTCCAAAAATAAGGGAGAAACCCCTCAAAGATTAAAATAAAAATGTGAATTACTTATTCAAAAGAAGCATCGTAAGATGTTATTTTCAGCTTAAAATTTACTGTACATGTGATATAGATACTGCTGTCCAAAAATAAGGGGGAAACACTCAAATATCAAATTGAAACTTTGAATTACTTATTCAAAAGAAGCATGTTTGTTAAAACTTCAGTTTCACAGATCAAGCAAAAATCAGTTTTTATTGATTTATACAGTACTACAAAAATACTTTATGCAAAGACTATAGGGATCACACTTTTTTATATTCTGTTATTTGGCTGTGTCTGTCTTTTTAAATTTTCTGTTGAAAGCTATAAACTTAAATAATAATTATTTAAAAATTTAAGATTTTTTTAATGGTTTTCAAGTATTAAATTGAGGTGGCATTTATATCCTAATTAATATTAATAATATTAACGTATGAAGCAACTTCACATTATTCCCTGATTATTTGAAATGATAATAAAATTTTTAATTTTCTGTCCAGATTTAAACGAGAGGTATGTCACCAACTCTGGATTAGCTCTTGTGAATGGTGAACCATGGCATATGCACCAACCACTACAAGAGGATTGTGAACTGAAGTTTCTTACATTTAAAGATGATGATGTTGAACATATCAATATGGTAAATAATTATTTTCCTTTAAACTTATAATAATTTTTTTCAATCAGATAACTTTTGTATGTGTGGGATAATAATTAAAATAATTGCACATTTTTGTTAAGACCCTGCCTCTTGGATATTTGTTACCCAAGATTCAGGTAGTAGAACCAAGTTTTCTTTGACAAAGGCTATAGAACATAGATAGACAACCAGTGTTCACAAACTATGTCATGTGTGCACTCTAAAGAACATAGACATCCTTTGAGTAGGGTATTACCCTGGTGTTCTGCTTCCACTGTAAACTGTTTGTTCATTCTGATTGTTAGCATCTGACATGCTTGGACACTATAGGGGAGTAGAAGTTTACAGGAATAAGTAAAACTGGATGCGTATATAGCTTGTAATAATATACACTATGTAAGTCTAATACTGTCATCTTTAAGTCTGTTTTCTATGCTAATTACCATTTTCATTCCGTTTTTTATGCTAAGTACCGTTTAGACTTCATTTGTTGATTAATTATTTTGGTTTTTATCTCCATATGCAGGCATTTTGGAAGGCAAGCGCTCACTTAATGGGAGCTGTCCTGCACAGTGCATTTAAGGACATGATTACCACCAAGATGGTGTATACACCTCATCTACCAGGTATTCATGTTGATAGTGTGTAGCAAAAAAATTTTGTTGAAATAGATAAATAATAAATACATAATTTAACGCTTAATCACGATCAAGGTCCAATATGTGCTTGAATTTCATACACTGAAATACAGTAGTAGATCCCCTATGGAGGGGACACCTTCGGGACCAAAAAAGTGTCCCCCCAATATTATTTGTATCCCCTGAATAGGGTTGGCCATATTGTTAAAAGATTTACTTTCCCTCATTTTAGTGCCTGAAGAAGTGTTCCCAAAATGGGGGTGTCCCCTTAATAGGGTGTCCCAAAGGAGGGGTTCTACTGTACTTAAGAACCCCAATAAAATGGAATTATGTACAAAATAACTTAAAAGGACTCAAGAAATATAGTTAAGGGGTATGGTACCTGAAATTTGAATATTGAGAAGAAAATTCACTACTTACAAAGCAGAATCAACAGAATAGGAATTAATATTTATATAGATTAGAAAAATAAGGTTGTTCATCATATTTATTCTAATATGGACTGTACTGTGTTCTTTTTTTCTGATCTTTTTCAGACAAGAAAAATTACCTTGTATCTTGTATATAGGCCTATGATTATCTTTATTAGAAAACTGTTAATAAGAGACACACGAGACCCATCTCATTCATTATTGAAATGCCAATTTACAGATATTCTGTATACATGCCACTCATGTTCTAGTTTTGTTATTTTATTGAATGTTTTTTTTCTTTGTCTAAAGGTGCTATCTATATTTGATTTATTACTGTTTGAGTTTTTTATTTTATTTTTTTTATAATGTTAAGATTTAATCTTCATACTAATCCATTAATTTTTATATCCTAGTTTCTGCAGGCTGTTTTGCTCATGACATCAGTCTTCCTTTTCATTGGCGACCAACATTTGATGAGTTGATGATGTTAAATCGTCAAGCATACAGACTTATTGAAAGCAAAATACCTTTCGAACGACTGCAAGTCTCAAGTGATTTGGCTATCACATTATTCAATGGAAATGAGTATGTTTTTGTTTATTCCATTTTATTTTCAAACATAATTTTATTTATTTAAGTAAAAGGTTATATTTTTGTATATAAACTCAACAATTTTTTTGCTTATATTCTTCTAGGTTTAAAACGGCAGAAGTTAAAAGAAAGAATGTGGATTGTGTGACATTATACAGATTAGGAAAGTTTATTGACCTCTCAGATGGCCCGATGATTTCAAATTCACAAGCTATGTCAGTACACAGGTTTTCATTTACAAACGTAAGTACAAGTGTATTACCCGCTTGTTTTTTAGAGAGAGAAGTAATCACGATTGATTTTAATATTGATATAATAAAGAGATTTTGGCCAATTACATAAAGGAATACAAAAAATATTGTCATTTAAACCACTTTCACATATTGCAAACCAGAATTGTGTTGCTGAGAGTGGCCTTATTGATATGAGTGATTTTTTATATTTTTAATATATGGTATGGATTTTTCTCCTGGTATGAAATTATGTTGATATGGATTTTAAAAAATATTTTTTAAAGGTACATTTGGTTAAAGGAGATGCAGACGTTGACAAGGTAAGACATATACTGTACTACAGTATTATCAACTATACAAAATACAGTGTTATCAACCTAGATTAAATATACAGTAATATAATATACGCTAATAATATATTTTATTCAAAGTTCATAGAACCAACTGCATTTCGTATTTTATTCTTCTTATTTATAGGATAAAATTCACAGGTTTCAAGGTGTAGCCCTTCCTTCTGCATTTGAGGTAAAGACAGAATTTTCTTTATTAATAGAAATTTATACAAATTAATGTTTTAATGTAGTGCCTCCCAGTTCCATTGCATTTTTATTTACTTGGTGTGAAACACAGCAAAGGTAACCTAGGAATATCGGGAGACTTATTTCTAGTTCTTAAGATGGTTAAGTCCCATGGAGTGTTTAGCATTTATTAACATGCATATGGCCCATATTGCACACAAGACAGACTGCTTGAATCTCTCCTACGAAAGACTGTGTACCATTGAAACTTGTATTTCTAGCTGGAGGGCAGCAACGGTATACAAGCAACCAAGGATCTCTACGGTTCAGTGAACATACTTAAACATTCACTCATCATGATGGAATAAATAACTTTCATTTTAGCTGACTCAGCTTTGTTCCCCCTATTGTATGAATAAAAGAACAATCGGGAATAATATGAATAATTTGGATCATCTTTGGTTTTTACCTACATTTCTGAATTTTTTTTACATTATGCTATTACTGTATTATTCATAGTGATGTTTGTTGAGTTGTTTCCTTAAATTGATATTGAGCTGTCTAGTTTGGCTGTTGCCTTGCTCATTGCAACTGAAATGTTGTTTTTTTTCATAATGTTTACAGGCACATTATTCAACGTGGTCGACGTTAGAGAATAGAGCGAGAAAACCAGTTAAAATATAAATCAAGTTCATACTGCCAATCAATCATCCCATTTATAGATGGTGCTCTTGCATAATGAAACTCTTCAGACTGTAGATCTAATTGACTGATCTATCAAAACAGTGCCTGAACACTTTGCGTGTTTCAGAAACATGTGTTTAGGTACGGTTATCGGCCATCCATAATTATCAACATTTTCAAAAGAGAATATGCTTTGGGGGTTAGGGGGTTGAAAGTGTAGGCATAATTACTCTTTTGAAAAAGATAAAATGTTGATCTCAAAATGACATAAATCAACATTTTTTTTTGGTGTATCGGTACTCTTTTCGGGGTAGGGGGATGGAGGGGGTGACGGAAAAGAGTATTTTTTATACTCTTTCGAAAATGTTGAAAATTATGGATGGCCCTTACACTGTTGAGGAAACCAGTTTAAAAAAAATAGAACAAGGTCATTATAAAAATTCATTCAACAATCAGTCAGTCATCTAATTTGTGTAGGAGCTGCTCCGGTTAACAACTGACCATTAAGAGCAGGGGTAAGGATACGCGCATGTCCTATAAACATGTGTTACCCTGTCATTTTGTAAGACCTTGGCAACTATATCTGATGGATAAGGCTTAGAGAAACTGTCCATTGTCAGAGATGTTCTTGTAGAAGAAACTATTTTCTATGAAATTCTTGAAATGAATTTCACATTGTAATGGAACTCAAATTGATTTAATTTTGACTGTTATTTTGTTTACTTATACTGTATTAAATAAAAAATATGGTACCAAGAGATTTGAAAAATATGCTAGAAAGGTAGTTTTTTTTGTTTGTTATGTTCGAATGTCAGTCATCTTCAGATAAATTCAGTTATAAAATAGACAGAGCTAATACAGTGAATGATGACATAGTTTATTTGCTAATTCCATCAAGGGCAAGTCCACTTTAAATTGTAGTATAACATAATGACACTACAAAACTTGAGATAAAGTAGTTGTGGAACTGGTTGGCGGTGATGGTGTATTTTGTCTTTTTTCGTTGTTTTCTTACCTACAGTATTGTCGAGCACATAGAGACCTCGTTTATTTGCGCTATATAAATCCATCTATTATTATTATTATTATTATTATTATTATTATTATTATTATTATTATTATTATTATTATTAATAATATCATCATTATTATTATTATTATTATCATTATTATTATTATTATCATTATTATTATTATTATCATTATTATTATCATTATTATTATTATCATTATCATTATTATTATTATCATCATTATTATTATTATCATTATTATTATCATTATTATTATTATTATTATTATTGTCATTATTATTATTATCATTATTATCATTATTATTATTATCATTATTATTATTATTAATATTATTTTTATTATTATTATTTAGCAACAATATCCAAGGGGCGGGCTTATCGGAAAGTTTCATTGTCACAGGTTGAAAAGAATGATTGCAATATTATCACATTGGGTCTGTAATTTGCGTTCTACCAGTAACCACTGATAATTGCTAAAAGTACAAGGACAAAAAAGGTTTAAATGTATAAATATTAGATACAAATATAACAAAATGCAGTTGTTGTTGCTTCTAAAGAATCGGTTTTCTGATTGATCCGTGTACAGTTGATGTAGGGCTCTGTATTTTGATGATGTCTGCATCCACGGCCGTCGTTTAAATTCGTTCAAAATATAATTAATTATATCTACAATAACATTGTTATAAAAATTCCTTGACTTAGTATGTTAAGGTCACAAGATGTTACCGATCCTAAATACAGATTGTTGATATACCTTGGCTCTAACTAATTCAACGCCTTCAAGAATGCACTTCTCACGCCAATTCATTGTTCATTCTTTGCAACAATCAACATAAATAATTTATTAACACTAGATTTCTGAATGCCTGCTATTCAACTATTGATTCGATAGTTTGTGTTATACCTTAGGTATAATAAAACCTGTTACTCGGACAATGTGCACGGGTCATTTGACTCTGGTATTGAGGTAATAAATCGGTATATCAATGCGTTAATCATATACAGTAATAACATTCGAATGAAAATGAAAGCTGTCACATTGGCTCTTGGCAAGCGAACCGGAATCGTTCCCGATGTCTGGCCCTTAGATTTTAGGGGATAGTACGGATGAATGAGGATGTTATATTGTAAATTTAGAAAATCTTTTTAGCACTAAGGCAAACATGTGTATATAATTATAATTATAGTAATAATTATTATTTTATTATTGTTATTAATTATTATTATCACTGTTTTCACTCTATTGTTAATATTATTACTACATTTGTTTTTGAATTATTTAGGCTATTATTGTAATTATCATTGTTAATTTCGATCTTTAATAATTCTTAGACCCACAGCCCACATAATATTTGGTTTAGAAAGGGATGGACTCTGCAATCATGCGATCAGTTTTATATGAAGAGCATTAGCATGAGCGATTCTATGATGTGGTAAAGCAAACTAGATTCGATCATTGCTTAATCGATATCCGGACAATAACTCTCAGGTAATGTTATACAGCGAGTTGACTTTGATATTTACTTATAAACTACGATGTAAACGTGACACCGAAACCCGAGACTGTATTGGAGACTTAGATCATCCATGGGGTTGGAATGGAGGTAGTTGCTTTGCAGCACATTTTCAAAATTTACAGCTATTTTGAGGGGGCGGAGTGATTGCCAGATGAGATTTTTGGGCATCCACAATTTATACTTTTAGACCACAATATTCGGGAATGGCAACCGCAACTTGATTGGATTTAAAGATTAGTTTAGTCTCACGACCTCATCGTGGCGTCGGACGAAAGATGGTGGGGGATGTCCAGGTTTGTAGAGGGGTGTGGTGCTCAACAAAATTAACCATTGCAGTGCGATGAAAAGCAACGATAAATAGATTAAATTCAAACATTGTTATTGATAGGGCCTATCCATTACTCGAGAATAACCAACTTTTTTCAGGGCTTTCTATCTAGCAGCGGCGGCTCTAGGATATATTTTCTGTGGGCTAAGTTGTCCGACAGGGGGACTTGAGCTCGTAGGCTCGAGCTGGGGGAAGGGGCTGAGAGGGGGTTCCCCTTCCAAATGAGATTTTCTTTAAGAAACTTCTGGATGGCCGGAAATGACACTCTCATACTGTGACAGACATGTGTTGGCTTGGTGTGGGCCTATTTTTATATGTTTTATGATCTGACTGCACGACGAGCTCTGTCCGGCGGGGGGGGGGGGGGGCTTG